TTTTAATGTCATGATACAGAAAGATTGACTGTAGGTACTTGAATGTTTTTTTTCTATTTATTTATTTAGAAACAATTGACTGTAGGTACTTGAATGGGTTTTTTCTATTTATTGATTTAGAAAAGATTGACTGTAGGTACTTGAATGGGCTTTTGACATAGACGGATTGAATGTAGAGACTTGATTGGCTGTTTTTCTATTTAATGATGTAGAAATGATTAAGTATAGGTACTTGAATGGGCTTTTTATATGTAATGATAAAGAAATGGTTGAAAGTAGGTACAATATTGTATAGTGTTGTCCCATCTTAGGAGAGTTTTGTGAGATGATTTTAAATGCAGAACATTGGTATTAATTGTTTTTATTCCTTGCGATGATATTGTTGATTAAACTTACAACGACAGCTAGTGTGCTACATGTTTCTATCTATAGAAAACCCACATCGTCACAAATAGACGTTATTGTCAATTATATTTGTAAATCAGATGACAAATTCTAAGATTATTATTGGTTGTTTTCATCACTGCTGTTTGCAATAATTACGACCATAGTTGACTATGTTTAATTTTCATGTATAGCACAGTACTATTTTGTTGAAAGATTTAGAAAAAACACCATGTTTAAATTCTATTATTTGTTTTGTCAGATGCACTTAATATGTTATTAACTTCCCTCTTCGGCTATAGTGATAGTATATTACAGTATTGACCTAAGGATTATAGTATCTAAAACTGATAGCTGGGATATTGTACCCCTTTGGACCATACTATACTAGCAAGTTTGTTATGAAGAATGCATTTATGTATAAGGTTTTTGTATAAGGAATGTATGTCCATGTAAATACATGTTTTCCTACTGGTCATACATACGTTCCAATAATCTACATACAGTATATATACAGCATTATACATATATATCACAGTGATAGTATACTATGCAGTCACTTTCTACAGTCTGCCTGCATGGGAATAAAAGATGTCATTCTCTAATTGCCTCCCATACTCCAATATCCCAAAAAGATAATGGCGATAGGTAAATCTTCCAACTCACTTAATAATAATAATTCCAGGTTCTTATTTACCGCTTGATCACATCCTAGTTCGTAGGTCGTCTCAAAGCCGTCCACAAATTATTATCCTGGTTATAGGGCGTTTGCAACCAGCCAATATCTTTCTCAACTCCCTGGGGAGCATACAGCCAGTGCTGCCATTTTGGCGCTCACAGCTAGCGATCAACAATTCTAGCACTGCCCAACTACATACTCATTAATTTACAGCTTAGTAGACTGGAACAAGCGGAGTAAAGTATCTTGTTCAAAGATACAACACAGTGCCGCGATGTGACTTGAGCCCTAAACCCTTCATCACAAGCCCAGCGTCCTACCACTAGAGTACCTTCCCTCCACTTTATCTCTTTTAACTGCATTGGGCATATATTTACATGCATCATTTGCAAGGTTGCAAGTCAAAACATTATTTAATTGGTTGGGTTGGTTGGTTGGTTGACAGGTTTCGCGCCTACATGAATCCTCCCTTATGGGTTTCATCTCACTGACGGGAGTCAGTGTTCAGTCGGCGTGAGGGAAGTTGCCTTCCCTCGGGGGGTGGTTTGGAGACGTCTATTCTATCCTATCCTTATCTTGTGATGTAATTACATTATTTAAAAACAGCTAGGTTAATATTGTATAGTGTTGTCCCATCTGAGGAGAGTTTTGTGAGATGATTGTGACCTTCTGTATACAGTGTATAGACCACAACAGAAACCGAACTGTATGTGACAATGTGTGACTACATGATAGCCATATTGGTATAATTGTCCTATCAGGAAGTACTATAAAAGTGGAGAAATTTTCGCGTGTCAAAATGTTTGCGTTGTGACATTTTAAAGGTATGACACTGTGGCAATTTTCACTTTTGGAATAGTTCTGAAATCTATATATATTCAATTCATATTTAATCTGTGTAGTCTGTAAACAAATATTTGCGTATATTTTTTTTTGCGCTAATTTACCCAACGCAAAAAAAGGCGAACATTTCCACACGACGACAATTTCACCTTTTTCAGTATATGATGTAAACATTTGTCGTAATCACATTTGATTATTTTGTTAGTTTTCTGTAGGATCTAGAATGTTACTGATTGGTAAGGCAAGCTATTCCGTCTTTGCGTATTGCAGAGTTATCTGCTCTTGTGAGCAGGTATTTATTGTTACGTCATTGGTGTGTGAGAGAAACGTCATCAATTTTTAAGAAAACGACGTAATTTTCTCAATCAATACCTGCTCACAAGAGAAGATAACTCTGCAATATGCAAAGACGGAACATAACATAGTCAAACAAACGAGGGATAGGCGATGCTAAGTAGAAATGTACTTTCGTGGGCATTACAGCCATCCCGGACTGATCGTATCCAAACTCCGAACGGTAAATTAATCTACCTGACCATGTTTGTGTACTTGACAAAAGCCATTTAAATTTCCCCCTAGGTGCAGCAGTTGACCTGACCCAATGTGTATATTATGTAGTTTGGACAAAATGCACTATGTATTTTCAGGGACGTATATATACTGTCCCTAGTATTTTAGGGTTGAGGCTAATTTACTATTTTCTTTGATCATTGACACAGTCAGTCGTGCCGACTTATCGGTTCGTCATGACAGGAGAACAGATCGTCGGTGATTTGAAAATCGTTATACGTACAAAATGTAGTACTTTTTATGCATACTGTTGGATATCATCTGTATGATCAATCAGGAATGGCTGTATTATTTGGAACGTCGATGCTTACATAATGTCTTTATGTCAAGTTGTTAACAGACAGGCTGAAGTTCAGATGGTCATTGACTTTGACAGCAGTGACATATACATATACGCAAACGTGGCTGGCTTAGAACGTTTTAGTTCTAGCCGACTAACCATAGAAGTGACATAACCCATTCACTTTATTAAACTAGTCATCTGACGTGTTGCACTGGTAAACATATTGATGTACAAGGGACGGTCCATTTTGACAGTTGTCTTGCTGTTTTATGAATAAACAATAATTGTTAAACTTCTTTGTTCAGTTGTCAGTATTGCTTTGTTTTATTTGTTATGTATCAACATTGGATTTTGTCTGTCGTACGTCCATCTCGGGTTAATGTCAATCGGGAACCGTCGGCACTTTCCGTAAACGAGAAAGTATATTCTCGTTTACGGAAAGTGCCGCCGGTTCCCGATTGCCCGCCGGATTGGGGTTAATGTTTGCCGAGATGATTTCAGAAGTTAGTTCAAATAAATTACATTAACATATATATAAGGTTTCAGAGATCGCTTGTCTAATACTTAAAACTAAATACAGAAGGTTCATTAGCTTGCTTGATACAAAAGCTTAACACGATGGTAAACACTGTACCGATATTCAAAGTAAAAGAGATCGGATTAACTGAAAACTCCAGCAGTTCAGCATTAAATATATTTTTATATAACAAGGAATGACAGGTGAGCATTACAGTCCCTTTGTGCCTCTTGTTAATATTACAACGGTATTTAATATAAATAAGACTGGATAAATACCGAATATGTCACGAGTCTTTCTGGGATCTCAAGGATTTTTGACCTTAACAACTATTTTAAACGTTTTACTTACAATTTCTGCAGAACATAATAATTGTGTGGATATGATTTTGCCAGGTTAGGCCTTTTCAATACGTTATTTGGGAATATAATGAGTTTTTGTTTTCTGCTAAACATAAACATCACTGAAAAAATAATTTCATTTAATTATTCAAATGAAGTTGCATTCTATAGCGTGACTTGTTTTAACTGCAAAAAATAGAACTATCAACGCTTCGCTTCGGTAAAGTGCGGCATGTTACTTTAATGGTTCATGTTTCTCATAATTGACGTAAAGATTTCTGGCGTTATGTTCATTTAGAAAGAATCCAACCAGAAAAGGTCGACTTGATGACTGACAATTGACCCTTAGGACCCTCTGCGTCTGAATACATGGTCTCCTTGGTAATATTGTATGACAACCAAATTAGTTGAACTCGTCCGAGTCTGAATCGATGCCACCTACTGGCGATCCATTGACCACTAGGTTGGTGTAGACGTCGTGTCCACCGGAGTGGGTACCAGCAGTTATAGACCAAGTAAAGACAAACACACCGCTCTGTGGGGCTGTATATATACCGTCACCACGTGCACCGTTGCACCCGCTGCTTTCACCCAATATCACGTGACCAATAACCATGGTCTCGTGGTCGTGAACGTTGATGTTGTTCTGTAATGCCACACTGAAAACTACTACAGTAACACCTCGTTCTGAAATACCAAATGCCTGTTGGTATCAGTGTGATGTACTGGGAAACACAACTTTTTGATACGATGTAATTGTTTTTTTGTATTTTTTTTTGTATTTAAAGATATCACATAAACAGTTATGGCATAGATATAACGTACATGAAAGCACATATTCAAAAGCACACAAAACAAACATACATTGTTTTCATCATCATCATCATCATCATCATCAACATCAACATCAATATCAGATGTACCGTATATGAAAAGATTATTCGATACAGTTTCTGCGCAATTAATATATGACTTTTTTACACTCTATTGATCTTTAAAATAAATTATGATATATTGTGCAGCCAATTTGTTCGATATTGATGTATTTCTTTAATCTTTTACATATATTAAGCTATTCAGTTTCGGTTTGATGTGTTTATTTTCGTGAATGTCTCTTATTCAAGTATTGATGGCCCTAAATTACTTATATTATGTAAATGGCCGTCAAACAAAACAAAAACAAAACAAAACATCATCATCATCATCATCATCAGCAGCAGCAGCATTCATCAATGTTTTTCCTTCCTTTAGTTGCTATTAAAGAAAACAACAATTACTGACATACACAAAATCCACACAGACATATGAAAGGGGCCGTGATGGCACAGTGGTTAAGGCGTCTGACACTCTGCTACAGGGTACCACCACCAAAACCTGGCACGTCCTTAAATGACCGTAGCTGTTAACAGGACGTAAAAAACAAACAAACCAACACTTTCATGAAAGTGTTTGCCGTACGCATCTGTAGACAATTTCGTGTACCAAAATCTAGAGTAGAAGTTGCACCGACAAAGATTTAGGACCAACATCTAATTTTGCCCCGCCAAATAGAAAGAAATCGACTTCTCACGATTTACAGGACGGCAAAGAAAACAAATTAAATTATAATTCCAATATATTTTGGCATGAATTCATTTTTAAAATCAAACATTCACATTAAACATAACTGCACAAAATACTTGTTGTACACAATAGACAATTTATCACTGAACAGTTATCTTGGAATTTAATGGAAATGTAAAAAAAAAATGAGTACAAGTTGTATTTAGAACAAAAGCCAACCAGAAAAGGTCGACTTTGCAGATTGGCTACTAATGATTGAACCTGTGGAGCCTGTCCGTATGAAAATATGGTCCCCGTAATCAACATATGTAACGACCACACCAGTTGAACTTCCTGAGTTGGAGGCATCCGAGTCTGAATCGATGCCACCAACTGGCGTTCCATTGACCACTAAGTTGGTGTAGACGTCGTGTCCACCGGAGTGGGTACCAGCAGTTATAGACCAAGTAAAGACATACACACCGCTCTGTGGGGCTGTATATATACCGTCACCACTCTTGTACCCGCTGCCTTCATCCAATATCACGTGACCAAACACCATCGTCTCGTGGTCGTGAACGTTGATGTTGTTCTGCAGGGCCACACTGAAAGCCACAGAGGCAACATCTCGTTCTGAAATGATAGATTTATGGAATCTATGATGGCAACTTTTGTATAACATTTTTTTTAAAACACTGGAAAAATGAATATATTAAATCTAAGTATACAAGATCTTGTCTTTCTTTTGGAAAAAAATATTTTCATTCCACGTATTTTTATTTTATCACAACAAAATTATCCAAACGATGTTGAAAACGAATCATAACCCGAAACCTTATAGTGATCTGACACGTAACTACATATGTGTAGCTGTCTCTTGTCCACCTTTGGCTTAGAGTCATCTGTTGTGGAAGTTTCTTCATGTGTACCGTCATCGGTTTTGCCAATTTGCTGAATTTTAAAATTTGCTCTTGACTTCATATGTTTTAAAACGGCTTTGCCGGGAGGTACTTGGTCATGCCGTTGTGCTTTAAGTTCCCTCTTGATTTCTTGCAGTTGGTTCTCCAATCTGTTTATCTGGCCATCTTTCTCTCTTAATTTGTCCATCACTTCACACAATACACTTTCTAGATGCTCGATTTGCTGGTTTTTAGTGCTTGTTTCCTTTGAAGTTTCCGCCACCATTGTCTGTAATTGACGAAAGGCTACTTCCTGTCTCTCGAGTCTGTCCAACAGGGACTCAAACATCACTCTGGTGGCTTCATCACGTGACAAAAACCTTCAAGGGAAGACTTTTTTCAAAAATGCACTGGAAAATCAGCCGTGGAGCATTTTAGGATCGTTAGTTGTTATTAACGCGGACAGTATCTTCTAATGACAATTGCTATTCAACCATGCAGAGTTTTCAGGAAAATCTACTTGCTGTATGTCATTACAATGCTGGGAAGCTATATTTACTATTTCAAACTACTCCTAACTACTATGTAAAGCAACGTTATACAAAATTGGTAATGAATTATTCTCAACTGCTCATCGAGTTCTTTTCACCATGAGAAGCAAAACAATTAATGTGAAATCAGATATTTTTGTGAAGCCCAAATTACGTGTTTTTCCTTAAACCACACATTTTGGGATAAATAAATAGTGAATTATTAGTAAATGTACCAACGAAAGCAGGATGTATAATTACTTCGTGGACGTATGTAGTTATTATTAATAAATCCACGAAATATTTTGATTTCACAGTAACTGTTATCTCACGAGGAATCTGAAATACCGAATGCGATTCTTTTATCCTTACCTTTCCATATGTGCGTGAGAGGGGTACCCATGATTCGCATGGCTGTGGTCTATTGCAACAACGAGAATGAAGACAACGAGGGCCGACTGCCACGCCATTTTTATATTTTTTTGTGCAGCGACAAACACGTGTGTTTTATCTGGTGACAGAACTGTCTTACAAACTGATAAGAAGCACATTCGTCTAGTGTCAAACATCAGTTCCTATCAAGAATTAATTTAAAACATTGGTATCCTTTTTCAACTATACAAATATTGACTGATCATGAGTTTGTACTGAAATAATTCAGGATATAAAATACAGTCTGATGAAGATTTACTGTTTATTTCAGGACTTAACGGTTGCGACAGTCAGCCGCGATGACCAAATTACCTAACAGCACGTGCCTTACATGTATATGACAATGGACACTGAAGTTATAAATTTACCTTGACTAGTTGTTGGAATACACTAACAGGCTAGTAGAGCGGAAATTAAAAAAATAAAAATAAGCTCAGCGTTAAAAAATATGACAATAACGTATACATTAAGAAGTTGATTGATGGTTTTTTGCGTTCCCTTTTTTCAAAAAATGTGCAGTGATATAAGATTATTGAGGAACATTTTGTGGATTTTTTATAATTGTTTAAATTTTTCAGTTTTATTTTTCACGTAAGTGATCAAAGAAATGACGTTTATACCCTCAAAACAACTTTTTCATGAGAAGACCACGGCTGTTTTTAATTTTACTGGTTTTCATGCATCTTCTTTCATAGGCCGTAATTAAATGACTTCACAAAAAAAGATATTTCTTCGATACATAAATTATAAATGGGTAAAATATTAAAAGAATGTTTTGATAAATACTGCTTGAATGTTTGTAATGCATTTAAGGAATTGAGAAAATATAATATAGATATTTAAAACAAGAGTTACTTCTTGTTGTAATCGTTCGCAATGTGATCAGTCTAAGTAAGATAACCAAAGCGAGTATTGTCATCTTACACGGGCACACGTTATTTAACATGGAGAGAAGTGAGAGAAAACAATCTTATCAGTAAGTCCACACCACATCGAACCCTTCCCTTATCTGGACATACAGTTCAACATTTGATATTACAACTGATATATATTGTAATGATTGAAATTTGAAACAACAAACTAATAGAATATACATGTATATAGCCATACCATGGTAATTGAGATAAATTGTCTGGGCTTTTTCTACTTGTGTGAAATATTTAGCAATAATATCAATTTTGTTTGATTTGTGACATTTTTTCTTTGAATGTATTTGAAACTTTCAGTCTTACAGGAATTTTTTTTTTGAAACAAACCGAAATACACCATGCAGTCAGCAAAATATAGGAGAAAATTGGAATGGGATATGCAGTGACGTCCACGAAAAGGGAAGAATATTGGAGTTTAGTTTTTGGCATATAGATAAATGATGACCTACATACCTACGTGATGACGGCTCAAATGTAGTACATGAAACGCTTAATTTTGCGGAGCACCTTATTTTGCGTCCGATATGCTAACAACATGATTTCGAGTGAAATTGCAGTTCCTTTTTTGTTGACAGTTTATCCATTTGTTTTAGGGTCTTCTCAATTCCCTTTGATGTCTTTTAATGTCTTCTTTTTTAGTTTTGATTTAACTCTTCCAGATTATAATAGTACATGTATGTGTTCAGGTTAACTTGTATAACGAACAACAAAATACAACATCTAATATACCAATTTCTTTATTTACGCTTATACAGATGGAGGCCAGGAATGTTTTTTCATAAGATGATTTGTTTGTTATTTCTGACAAAATAGTAGCATCTTTTAAATTATTGTTAAGGAAATTAATTTAAATTGTTAAAACTTTATTATTTTGTATGCAGTATAACTTTTCCAAACAACATTGCTTGACGCTGTGTTCTCATTTGATAAAAAAGTTTGTAATATCAAATGAGGATGAACTGGTCTACTGCTGCAGTGAGTGTTGTTAAATTATATGTACGTTTATCAAAATTTTCCTTTCAAAGACAACGCCTTTCTGCTTGTATGATCAGCCTATACGTTTTGTCTAGAACAAAAGCCATCCCGAAAAGGTCGATTTAGATTCCGGACGGCTTATTATTTTACCCGACGAGCCGGTAGTCACACGTATGTATACATGATCTCCTGCCTCAACAGACATTACAACCACACCAGTTGCACTTCCCCAGTTGTTTGCATCTGCGTCCGAATCTATCCCACCAACATCCAATCCGTTCAGCATCAAATTGGTGTGAATGTCATTCGTACCATGATGATTTGTTTCGGAAGTGATAGACCAAGTAAAGACATACACACCACTCTGTGGGACTGTATATGCACCATCACCACTGTATCCGCTGCCTTCATCCAATATCACGTGACCAAATACCAGCGTCTCGTGCTCGTGAACAGTCGCATCGTTCTGCATGGATGTGCTAAATGCAACACCTGGAATGACAGAATAAATGACACCAAATCATATGATTTTTTTATTTATTCTTTATGCTTTTTCATTGCGTCGATGTTTTTTGACTATGTTGTATCATCTGTGCAAATATATGTGTGTAACTGGTTTTATTAATTGATTCAAAATTTTCCTCCCTGTTTTAAGATTTATTTATCGAAAATTCTTGAACCATACCGGTATTGGTTCTTCTCTGTCTCTTGACCATGTACGCTTTGGCATCATCAGGTGTAGGAATTGTTGTTTGGTAGACTTCCTCTGAATCGCCATCTTGTTGTCGATTCGGAGAAAACTGTGGCATTTCCTTCAGATGCTTCGGAACAGTTTCACTGGAGGGGACTTGGTGGCGTTGTTGAACTCCAACTTCCATCTTTATTTCTTGCAGTTCGTTTTCTAGCCTTTCTACTCGCTTTTCTTTCTCTGCTACCGTTGTCTGCAATTACCAAAGAGATGCCTCCTGTCGTTCTAGTCTCTCCATCAGGGTGTTGTACATGTCTTTCGTTACTTCATCTCGGGTCACATGCCTACAAAACATATATCATAGCTTATCAATACTTTTGATAGAGTCTTTTGCAATATCATGTACTTTCTTATTTATACGTCATATCATGTATATTTTGAATTATAAAAGAATATCAAACTCATGAAAAAACTGTTTTTGAAACAAGATTGAAAGAATTTCATCAAGGTCAGCAAGCTTGTCATTCTCTCGTAAAATAAAAGATTTTTTTTTACAGACAATAGTAGAGTATATATGTACTTTTCGGTAACAGCGCATGACAGTACCACCTTTTGATAATAGGATTTTATTTTATGATAAATGATAAAGTTCAACTGCATAAAAGTTGGTATTTGCATGCGCTGTGTCAAAAACGCACTTACAGATGTTTTCTTGCATATTGTAGCAAATTTGATGACTTGTGAAAGTTAATGCAAGGCACATATCCAAGGTTTGTTCCTGTTTTCCTGATCATGGATATTAGAATATACTAGATATTAAACTGATATCTAAACTTGCCGAAACATAAAATATTATTTTGATTTTCTCGTTGATTACGTTTTGGTAGAAATAGGGACAGTGCGTCATACCTCTTTTCATAATTATGACGTGATTTATATACAGCTTAAAATGGTGGTATACATTGGGTAACGATAACGTGTTATCAGTTTGAATTGAAGATCTCTCCCTTGAAGTGACCCATCACAATAACGTCCATGTCATTTTATTTTGCCATATGGATGTAAATAATCCCACAATACTTTGTACCGTTTTAGACTCACCAAACATGGTAATTATTTGCTTACCCTACACCGTCTTGATGAGGTTCCTGGTTAGTGTGGCCGTGTGCCACTGTAACAGCAAGGATGAATAGGAGAAGAAAGGTCGGGACCGACTGCTTTGCCATTTTGATCTTCCTTTTTGACGCCAAACTGGTAAGTGTGTTATCTTTTCTTTACTGACACACTTTAATATCAACTGACCTGATGTGATGCACATATTTATTGTATTTAGGCCACGCATGTCGAATACACTGATAAGGACGGCGTTATGTACTTGTTCTCTGTTTTTATATTGTTGAGTACTAAAATGGTATATTTACACACCCAGTAAGTGTTTGAGACAGGCGTTTTAAGCATTTTTATATCATGTTTAAATATATCATAATTTGAATTAATAACAGTATATCAGCCTCATCTATTTATTGTTAAAGAATATGGTTTAACCTTTTTTAAGATGTATCTAATAGCGAAACGATCATCTCGTCGGTCGAGGGAATCACATTTAAATAACGATTTTGTGACTATAAAGTCGGCAATGTTCCTTATACATGAATACATATTAATTCACATATCACACGTTTACTTCTTCTTCCACATTATGGCTTCAACTCAATACTTTATATATTCACTCAATGCCATTGAGTACTGTGAAAGTCGAATTATCGCGGTCTGGAAATGCTCGCGTTCTTGCGCTGTGCAAATTTGCGTGAAAATATCCACGCGTTAACCTGTTAAAGTAAATGACTCACAAACTAGGGATGCAGTGAAACAGGACTATAGCGGATAATGAATCTACCTTTCATCAATACGGTTGGGGTTCAGTTCTTTAATGGGGTGTAAAAAGGTAGGGAGTCACCTGTTCGAAACCGTAAGTTTTCTCCGGGTACTCCGGTTTCCTTCCGTATGAAGACCCTCTGCGTACTTCCACCCGGCTAATAAAATTGACTGATATAAATTGATAAATCTTCATTCCATAATTGTTGTAGTTCAAATACCTTTGTATCAGAATAACTCGCATTTGTTAAAATTTATGATATGGCCATCTTTGGAGCAGTCAAATATTCTTTATTCCTTCCATAACCTCTCTCATCTCAGTCCTGACCTGGTATGAGTTTATTTTTACGTTTCGTCCTGTTGGTTTTGTTGATTCCTTAAAGGTCTTATCTAAACATTTACATTGTAAGACTGACTTGCTTGAATAGGTTTTTATTCTTTTTACCATTGAAAATTGCCAGGTGGTGCAGTAAAATGATAACTTTATTTGACGTTTTGCATCTTCAAACAGACTCAGATGAAATGATAACTGGATATTTAAGAGTCATACATTCAAGTTGTGATTTGTTCCATATAGGGCTTTTCTTTTATTAGGTCACCTGAGCTTTGCTCAAGTGACCTATTCCAATCGCTTTTCGTGCGTCGTGCGTCGTGCGTCGTGCGTAAACTTTTACATTTTCAACTTCTTCTCAAGAACCAGTGGATGGATTTTTTTCAAACTTGGTCAGAATCATCCTTGGTAGATGAGGCTTCAAAATTGTAAAATTGGGATTCCTACCCCAACCCCTGGGGCCAGGGCGGGGCCCCAAAGGGAAAATTATCCAATATTTCAAAAATCTTCTTCTCCAGACTCAGAGGTACTACAGTGATTTTCTCTACGTGGAAAGAAAGATCATCAGGGGCTTTACTTAAATTGTAAATTTCAGGACCCCCGAGCTATCCGTTCTCCCTTGGGGAGGGGGTAAAGTTTACTATAGTTTATATAGGGAAATAACACTTTTGGGTATATTTTGACAACTTTCTGTAGGAAATTATTTTTACTTGGTGAGAATTATCCTTGGAGGTAGATGGTTTCAAATTGTAAAATTGAGATTCCTACCCCGACCCCTGGGGCCAGGGCGGGGCCCCAAAGGGAAAATTAATCAATATTTCAAAAATCTTCTTCTCCAGACTCAGAGGTACTACAGTGATTTTCTCTACGTGGAAAGAAAGATCATCAGGGGCTTTACTTAAATTGTAAATTTCAGGACCCCCGAGCTATCCGTTCTCCCTTGGGGAGGGGGTAAAGTTTACTATAGTTTATATAGGGAAATAACACTTTTGGGTATATTTTGACAACTTTCTGTAGGAAATTATTTTTACTTGGTGAGAATTATCCTTGGAGGTAGATGGTTTCAAATTGTAAAATTGAGATTCCTACCCCGACCCCTGGGGCCAGGGCGGGGCCCCAAAGGGAAAATTAATCAATATTTCAAAAATCTTCTTCTCCAGACTCAGAGGTACTACAGTGATTTTCTCTACGTGGAAAGAAAGATCATCAGGGGCTTTACTTAAATTGTAAATTTCAGGACCCCCGAGCTATCCGTTCTCCCTTGGGGAGGGGGTAAAGTTTACTATAGTTTATATAGGGAAATAACACTTTTGGGTATATTTTGACAACTTTCTGTAGGAAATTATTTTTACTTGGTGAGAATTATCCTTGGAGGTAGATGGTTTCAAATTGTAAAATTGAGATTCCTACCCCGACCCCTGGGGCCAGGGCGGGGCCCCAAAGGGAAAATTAATCAATATTTCAAAAATCTTCTTCTCCAGACTCAGAGGTACTACAGTGATTTTCTCTACGTGGAAAGAAAGATCATCAGGGGCTTTACTTAAATTGTAAATTTCAGGACCCCCGAGCTATCCGTTCTCCCTTGGGGAGGGGGTAAAGTTTACTATAGTTTATATAGGGAAATAACACTTTTGGGTATATTTTGACAACTTTCTGTAGGAAATTATTTTTACTTGGTGAGAATTATCCTTGGAGGTAGATGGTTTCAAATTGTAAAATTGAGATTCCTACCCCGACCCCTGGGGCCAGGGCGGGGCCCCAAAGGGAAAATTAATCAATATTTCAAAAATCTTCTTCTCCAGACTCAGAGGTACTACAGTGATTTTCTTTACGTGGAAAGAAAGATCATCAGGGGCTTTATTTAAATTGAAAATATCAGGACCCCGAGCTATCCGTTCTCCCTTGGGGAGGGGTTAACGTTTAATATAGTTTATATAGGGAAATAACACTTTTCGGTATATATTTTATCCATTTTCAGCAGAAAATTGCTCAAACTTAGTCAGAATCATCTTGGGTAAATGAGAGTTTTACTTTGTAAAATTAGGATTCCTGCCCCATCCCCAGGGGCTAGGGCGGGGCCCCAAAGGGAACATTTACCAATATTTTCAAATTCTTATCCATTGATGACATGACAAGTATTGTATTTCACTTAGTTTACATGCTGATTTCCACATCACATCTAAACAATAAAATAAAGCTACCAGTATCTATGATATAACTCAGGTGACCGCTAAGGCCCTTGGGCCTCTTGTTAATTTAAGGCATTAAAGAAAATTTTGATCAAAATAATTAAAATATCAGGTAGAAATATTCAAAATGACCCTACCAATATAGACAAAATTAGCGGATGTTCAGTAAGACAATATAACTTGCAAGTTACAAGTTAGATGCTGTTTACATCTGTTTTGTTAAGACAGGTGAACGCGCCATGACTATTTTGGTAATTGATACAGTATTCCGAAAATGAATTACAATGCACCAGCTGTTTCGTCTTCCTAAGCGAGTTCTTGGTTTTCGTTCAGATTTGGGATTGTCTCCCTTACGCTACAGAAGCAAATATAATTCTTTAGCCTACCTTAACTTCTCCGGGAATACAAACAATTGTCTCCCTTATACTACATGTACACTGGGAATTCTGCACTTATCGTTGAGTATTGCGGAATACAATTAATTGCCAAATATATATCAGTGATTCAACTCTATGATGTCAATACAAAACAAAAAGTATAAACAGATTGTATCTGAAGTGTAATAAACAATATTTCATAAACATGAAATAGAAAATGCGTTTAAAATACATTGTAGTTCTAATCGGTTTAAATGAGTACAAGCTTAAAGAAATCAACAAAAATGGTATTACTACAGACTAGAGGAGGTAATAACAAAAGATACCAGATTCTGCGTCGGCGTTTCTATTTTAAATTGTTGCAAGAAATCACTATTATACTGCATTCTCTTTCGCTGTAATTGAAGTCGATGTTTTCTCTATTATATGACGATTATATCACAAAACACCAACAGCTAAAGCTAATACTTAAAATTATGTTATATGTGTATGATTTTGTCTGTGTACTCCATATACATCGCATGTAGGTGTATGTAGAAAGGGGAATGGCTTGCGTATCAGCCAGATCTTCATGCTGGTATGATCAAAGTGACTTAACAGACAGACGCTAATAGACGCGAATGACGTAGATCGGTTATCGACGGCTAATCTGCCGGTTTAAAAACTTCCGTGACCTGCCCGGCTATTAGGTTACGATATCGACCAGTTCGCCTCCTTAAAGGGGTGTCATGGGAAAGAAATCGTTCCAGGTTCGTTTTATAATATCTTAACGGAACAGAAATAATAAAAATGATAATAATGATATACAACACTTGATATAGCGCCCTATCTAGCTAGAATAAGTCACTCCAAAGCGCTTTACATTGCATAGATATATAATTTTTACAGTCAATACAATTAGCATATACATTAATCAATACAATTTCGAGGAATTCGCAGGAGCTGCCTTATCAGGCCCTAACTACATGTCCTATGCCACCTGACTAATATCTCCCTCTATGTGTGTAAGCCTACGTGTGTGCTGGAGACGTATTGTGTTCTGTTTATAGTTAGACCGTGCTTCCAACGGTAACATTTATAGTGCCACCTCACTTGACTGCTACAGCACAGAAACCGCAACATCCACCCCATGCCATTTTATACTCCACCTGGGTTGTTGGAGAACAATATGTTACTGCTAAGGAAAGCCGCGTCCATAACATCATCATGTGTCATTTCCTGACTATGTTAAGAAAATGTTTACATGTGAAGTTGGTACGGTTTTCTATAGCTAAGACCCCATAAAGTGAAGTAGAATAACATTATGTTATGTTAAGTTTCTACCTGTGTAACAATGTTTACTTATATACATTGAACATCGTATGGCATTGCCACTATATAACCTTACTACTTTCAGATGATATTCATTATAGGACAATGGCCTGTGAATGCCATTAGCCGATGGTTGATGTCATGATTATTATGACGTCATAATTGTTACATTGACCCTCGCCGACCGATGGCTGTTTTATTCTATTGAA